CGAAGTACTACAGAGAAGCATACGGGCCGTGAACAGCCGATGGCAGAACGGGGACTACGAAATAACAGTAAGAACGAAGAAGGATTCAGAAAAGTGGATATGACTAACTTCCTGCGAACTAACTCAAAATCTACAGCCAATATTAAGGAAATGGAATATTCGGGTGGTCATGATAGGAAGAAGGACATTTTTATCAGTCATGAAAAGATAGGCAAATTGGATTTACCACGTAACATGCATCACCTATAAACAGAAATATATTGGCGAAACAGGGAGATAAATTATAATACGAATCATGGAACATCCAGAGAAATGGATAGTGAAACATCAAAATTAGCGGAACAAATAGCATGGACTAGACATGAGATCAATTGAAAGGTAGCAGAAGGAAGGGCCTCATATGATGAATACACAAGGAAGCAGAATATTAGGGAGGCGTTTGACGTACTTAGGGAAAGAAATCTAATGAACATGAGATTGGAGGAAATTAGAGTTAGTGATAACTTTGCCTCCTGCTTAAGCAAACTTGGGCAAAACAAAAATGCAGCAGGACCAGAAAAACGGAGACGCCTGAATCAAGGATCTATCGCTAAACGAAGGAAAGGAGATCGCGATGAAAAAAGCGTGGTGGGAAATTTTGCATAAAGAGCGAAGACGTTATCACTGAGTGATATCTGTTCGAAGAAACCACTACAACTTTGGGGGGCCTAGCACTCAGGCAGACGGATAAGCACAAACGTGATAGAAATTCCGCATTATGGTCAAAGTGCTGCATGCGACCAGAGAAAGGCGTTCACAGTTTGCTCAGGTAATACGGCTTTAATCGAGGAGACGACCCGTGAAGGCAATGTTTGATATCTGCAAGCATGGGAATCAGAGTTTAGGCGTTCTGCTCGGTGAGGCGACAATGTACGTGCTTCTAAGGCCTTGACAAATAACGAATTTAGTAAAACTCACATTATGACTGGAACCGAGTGAAATCGCTCAACCAGAAATATAATAAACGGATATACGGGACAATGAGGGTAAGGAGTGAATCAGGACAGAAAGATGAGTGATAGGGTAACCGTTTTCGACAGAACCTTGCTCGAGGGATTGACTTCACTTGTCTCTTTGAAGAGTTCGTAGCTTGGTGGGGAGAATTGCCGACTATGATGCCGGCGAAATGTCTCAGAATGTACCAAGTTCATGGTCTGATACTGGGAATTATGATAACTACTATGGCAGAGCACTTCGGACAAGGTGCGTTCTACTAAGTCACCTTGACAACAAGACCATGTTGTGAAGACGAGGTCAACCCACTTCTGAGAATACTACCTTTGTCCATTCGTCTTCTTATTCTTGATATTGCTGTTCGCGCATATTCTCCGAGCTTGCTTAGACAGTATACAAAGTTTTCACTAATCCTGTTTTATTCAATTCTCATGTTCATTAAATTTCTTTTACTCAGGATTTTGATGGCTTATCTTATCTTGCGTTTTATTGTATTTTAATCATGTACAGTCAACCTTTCTATCGATTTCCACTCAATTTCATGTCCCGTTCTTGTGTTGTGTTCCGCTATTTCGTACCTTTCTGTATCCATGTTCATGCAGAGCCTTTGGTGTTCCTTGATTCGCAGGCTGATTTCTTTTTTCTGTTTCACCAATATACTTATTTTCACAGTTGCAACATTTGATAGTATCGACTCCAGAACATTCTGATTTGTCTATCTTTTCGTGTTGCGTCGGCAGGCTGCCGAAGAGTGTTGTCCTATTCTTTCTTATTACCTTGATATTCCATATTCTTAGTAATGGTCACAATTTTTGGCCCAGTTCGCATGAGGACAGGCATTTCCACTTTTGGTCGTCCTTCAGATTCCTGAACTTATTTTCATAAAATCCTAGTTGAAATCTTCTCTTTATAACGTCATTTTTTCTATAACTTCTCTATGGTACTTGTTAATACGGTAAATCCAAGTCAATTTCTACAATTCCTCGTCCTTGTCCGTTAGTATTAGGCTTCTGATGATCATAATCATTATTCCTATCTCTACTCAGTATTTATGACGAGACTGTAAACGGAGGATCACTTCTGCATGCGATTTCTTTCTTAATAGTTTCATCCTGAGTATTCCGTTGGAGCTAATGACTTAAACACTCGTTTATCCTCATCAGCCTCCATTGTGAATTTAATTCTTGCATTAATTTGGTTTATAACATTGAGTAATCTATCTAAATTTTTCTACGTTTGCCAAAAGAGTGGCGATCCCATCGGTATTCCAAAAAGTTGCTCATAGATATTGTCGCTGAACGTAAAATATGTTGCACTTATTGTCAAATTGATTAGTCATGTTAATGAATTCTTCCGTATCCGTTATACTCTTCTCTTTCCTCTCGTTCTGCAGGGCAGTGACGGCCTTCCCGCCTAAGATCTCAAAACTTATAAACATATTTGTTGTCCTTTTTAGAAACTTTATATGAATTTTTCACGGTCTTCAAGAGTCTGTAAGTTTACTTTCGTAAGCCTTAAGCATATATATTTTGCTAGTTTGTGTATTGCTCCATGCTTGTTGTTGATTATTAACCTTAGTGGTTTTCCTTGCTTGTATATCTTCGGTAGTCCGTAGGTTGTCGGTGGTCATTTTTTATTAACGAATTCATCATTCATCTGTCGATTTCTCCGTTATTATGCATTTCCTTTAACATTTCCTTCAGTATTCCGTTTATCTTTATTTGGGGATCACTTCTTAGTATTTGATAAGTGTTCTAGTCACCTAGGATACTTTCCTGTTGCCTGCCCATTATCACCATCGCACCTCCCTTATCCACCTGAATAACTATCTGGTCATTTATTTCAACGTATTTTCATCAATCCAATCCTTCATATTGGCTCTTAATGAGACAAGATTCTCGGGATTAATTCTATTTCCATCTCCGGTTTGGCCTATTCTGGGTATTTTTATGAGATGCTTGTAACCTTTACGAGGATATATTTTAGAGTCTTCCCTTCGTTACCTAGTGAAAAATTTACCTTCTTCAGGAGATGTATCGTTTGAGAATCAAGAGGGATTTAGGATAGGTCCACTACTTTATACCCATCGTCCTGGGAGGAGTAAATGCCGTTAGTACCGGAACAATGATTTGATCGGGTTGACTCATTATTGCGCTGTCTGAATATTCGATATCTATGCAATTTCTTTTCATGCCGCTTATTTATCAAATCCCGGACCCTTTGTGACCTCTAGTTAGTCATACTGAGGATTTTTAAAAAATCATCGTAGATATGAAAACCAAGATGGGGTGGCCTTTTTTTGGTCGTAGTTTCCTTTAGCTTTATAGTGCTGCTTTGAACTCGTTTCTGTAACTTGGTCAGAGAATCGGACCATTGACATGGTGCTTTCTTAAACCTTCATTCCCAAGCAACTGTTGAAAATTAAATCGGTCAAGAGGATTGCCTTCACTTGCCACTTTGATAAGTTGTAACTCTATCCTGACGATTGCATCACTAACTGTTGATGCCGACTACGACACAGGCGAAACTTTTCTGAATGTACCAAGCCAATAGTCTGATGTTGGAAATTACGAATACAGTCATAGCACACAGTACCAGGTACGGTCCACAAGATCTGACTGACGCTCCAACCAAGTTGTGAAAATGAAGTAAAGCCAACAGTTATTATTTTAAGATTGATGTTTGTCTTCTCTTTTTGATATTTCATTGATAGAATCAGTTATTAACCCCAAATAGAATATCTTTTCGATGATATGAAGACCAAGATGATGTGGCCTTTTGTGTGGTCGCAGTCTCCTTTCTTTGTATAGACGTTGTTTGATCTTGTTTTCGCAACTTGGTCATATTGGTAGGAAGACTAAGAGGAACGCACCTAGTCCATAGTCCATTGTATGCATGATAATTTCCAGAGTTGGACCATGGGCGTGGTACATTCACAGACGTTTCACCATCATCGTAGTCGGCATCGTCAGTCAGTTTCGCCATTCTTAGCATCACATAAGAACTCGTCAAAGTGACAAGTGAAGCTGATCCTTTGACCAAACGTGTGCTAAACAATTCTGGTATCTCCCCTCTTGCCCTGGGTCCCGTTTCCTGTATCTTTGTATCACGCCTTCACTGTTACCATTTTTTCCTTGCTTATTTAACTCTATTGTGGTGTGCCCTTTAAGCGGCTTTCATGATAACCCTTCATACTCCACACTGGCGTTCTCATCCCCCTTCATCTTTGTGTTGGAAAAGTTGATCAAAGTCTACCATATTCTTACGCAGTCCTTCTTCCCTAGGTTTTATCACAGTATCTCTCTTGTTTCGTAAGATCTATCTTCTCTCTCCCTTGTTCATGTATTTCATTCGACCCCTGCCACCTCATCTGTGTTTCACGAGGCGTTATTATTCATCTCCTGTGCCTGGATGACTAATTCGAGTTTAAAGCCTCTAAGTAAGTGTTATGGTCGAGCCTTTGCTATATGGATCACGTCTACGGTAAAACAGGCCTACTGTCAGCCAACTAACTTGTCTCTGCCGCGTCTATTCTGTTTCTATCCGTAATACCAAGTCTATGACTTCTTGTGCTCTAGTCTCTTGTGTGCCAACCCACATATGTTGTGGTACTGCTTGCTTTGATTAGTTTCAATTTTGAACCCTAACGTTTGCGTTTTGGCATACACAGAATATCTTTTCATTGATACAAGTATTTATTCGGATCAAGAGCGCACTTACCTCTCAAAATGACTTAGTGTGTTTCTTAGACAGATAATTATCTTCATTTTCTCGATTATTGATCACTTGTATACTCTCGCATATTCCATTAGTTTGCCAATTTACTTCTCGTTGTTATCCCAATGTATACATTAAGATAAGTCTTGATTTCAATGTTCGTAGGGATATTTCGCTCCGGCTATTGACTGAAAAAAACATTTCTAAACTACTTTTTCAAAGCACTTCATCAAAATGCAGACTATTTATCCATTACTATTGTCTAAAATTACAGGAATCTTCACCTAGAAATGCAGGTTATTATCATCTGACTATACAAACCAGAGCTGTGTCCAAAAATGTATATTAGCTCGTCCGGAAGAGGGTAAGTACCGAATTAAATGGGTGTAAGACAATTAAACACATCGTGCGCTGTTCTGTTTCACGAGGTTGTTCATATTATGCAGCTTGCTTCAGTAAAGCTGGTAATATTTGAGAACAAAGTAACCACAATCCATCAACTGGTCCTACTGATATTCCAGCTTTTTTTGTGTCCGTCTGAAGGTTAACTCAATGAGATGATCACAGTATTTTTCCTAACATTTTTTGGATGCCTTACATTCACCCATATAATATCTAAGTTAATTATACTAACCCTTTTTATCTTATTCAGCATTGTGAGCTTAGCTACATACTCTAACTGAAAAGATTTTATTGTTTTGGAACTTCATATCAATTAGCATTCATAAAATTGTGTTAAATTATCCATTTCTTATTCCAGGTTGACGTCGGCCAGCACTCAGTTAACGAGTCTCGTAATCACAACATTGAATCAAATTTGTGGATGGCATACATATCGCATCCGCTAATTCTCCCAGATCTTGAGTTATCGCCAACTCTAACTTGTGCCCGTACAAAGCCACTCGCCTGGCCCTCTAGGCCTATACCTCTCTTTTTACCCAATCTACCCAATGTTCAGACCGTACTTGGTCCTTCGACTGATTTCCTGTCTACAATGCAGCCTTTACTATCATCTTCTTATTCCCTCTCTCCATTGCCAGTATATCATTTCTCATATCCAGCTATGAGTGTGGCCGGCCCCTCGGTAACTACGGGCCATAAAAGAGACATCTCGCAGATCAAACCGAGGCCTCACCGACTTTTTGCTACAGGACCAATCAATAGAGACCCGAAGACCGGAGTTCCTTTAGGTTATTTGGTGATCCAGTTAGACCATGTGAGACGAGACTATTTTTATTACATTTGATTATTTTGCTCCACACAATTTTCTTCCTATGGAAAAATGTTAAAGTGCGAGCTGATTATCTCCACAGTTTTGGAGAAGGTCAATAAACCAAATTTCTGAAAAAAGTACTATTAATCATTATTATTTACATGATCATTTACATTTTTTAAGCGTCTTCATCGGCATTAAAGCGTAGTGTGTGATCAGCCACTTCACTTGGCTCTTTTCATTTATTATATCTATGATGTCGATGAAACTGAAAAAAAAACGTGTGAATAGAGAGTTTAGGGGTGTCTTCAAGGTACCCCATTCAAATTTATCAGCTTTGAAAAATGTTTAAAAACTACCGAAAAATAAGCTTAGTCTCTTGTGAATCAACATTCCGTTCAAAATAAATCGTTGGTTTCACTGTAAACACGAGCATTGACGCAGCATGAAGATTGTTGGATTGTGCAAAGAACTCTTCGGCTTAACTTCCTGAGACTGATGAACCCGTGCTATTTTTTCATGGGTGTTGTGGCAGACATCATCAAAGAAAGAAAGCATACTTTACTCAATATAGCACCATTCTATTAAACAACATGAAAGGATGGCCGATTGCAACCTTATCACTTCTCATTCCTAGTCTTGCCATCTTAATAAGGCATTCAGTGATTTTGCTAGCTACCTCAAACTTGCTCTGCATGCATGCCGTTAAGTGAAGTTAATTCATCAACAGGAAGTGGATGAGATGGACACCTTTTCCTTACATAAATAAACTAGCGTACGATAATAAAATTTTTACTCATTTTTGTATACGAGCTATTGTCTTTTGTTCATATACAATCTTCATGTCATGAGATATGTGATAGCCCCGACCATACTCGGGGCTATTCCAGCCTCTGTCTTGTTCAGTAGTACTTCCTGCTCATTCGTTTTCTCACAGCCGTAAATAGTTCGTACCCAATTTCCTATACTCGTTCTTCATATTCAGGATGTTGGCTACCTTGTTGCTTTATATAAACTCCCTAATCTTACGCTTTGATCTGAAGTCGCCGTACCCTGCAAACCGTGTTTTTTACCCTTCCATCGAGTATCCTGTTTTATCCATGTGCTCTGCGAGTTCAGATTTTTGGACTTATGGATCTTTACGAGCAGTTTTGTGTTGTGATCATCTCTTCCGGATGGATTGGCAAGCCTCCCTAACATAAACCTTGTCGTATGAGCGCAAAACCTTGTAATATTGAACGATTATTCGAAAATAATCGAATAGAATGTACCATTGAAGAAAGCGTTTGCTTTTCGCAATATATTGTTCTGATGTTCCACTTTCTTAGTAGGTCACAAGCTAATAGCAAGGCGAAAAAAGAAATCGAGTAGAGTGACCTATCTTTCTATATGCAAATTGAAGGTGGGTTTAGAGGCGTGTCTTAGTTGATAATTATTGAGTTTACTTCTATCTCGAGTAAAATTGTTTGGTGAGCAGATTCGGAATTTGATCATACATGAAGGTTGCGGCGGATTCCTCTTGACGACCTGTCTATTGGCTCCACTGGTACACTCTTATCGATGGTGTTTCTGAAGCGATCCCCTTTGATCTCTTAGAAACCGTGCTAAGCTTTCGTCCGTCACATAGTGAACACCATCAGAGCAAGGTATTATCCTTACAGTTATATTCAATCTAACGAATCAATAAAACTGACCGACTGATTCCTAAATGCAGCTTCTATACCCTATATCTAAGCTCTTTAATGTATTATCAAGTGGTTTAGTTGGTTCAAGCCATATGTCGATGTCGAAACATGTAAATGTCTATTCATGTGTCTGTGTGTTTATATGTCTTCATATATTCGCATATACACAAAGTCTGTAGTTTTGCTAAAAGTAATTAAAACATAAAAAGTAACTAGACCGTAGATATGAAGACCAAGATAGTGTGGCCTTCAGTTTGGTCACAGTCTCTCTTGGCTTTATAGGTTGGTTCGACCTTGTTTTCGAAACTTGGTAGGATCGTCAGTAGAGACCTTGTGGAAAGTACCTAATCACGTGTCCTCTGCCATATTATTCGTGATTTCTGACATTG